CCCTGCCCCTGCTGCACCAAAAATGCCGCTACGCAATGGGACACCGCCTGCGGTTTCTGGACGCGGTGGCCGCTCGGAAGACGGACTCCGAATGGGGCTCAGACGATTGGGATACCATTCTCACTTACTTACAGGGCACCGCCGATGGAGCAGAAGAACTCGGAGTCCACACATTCGACCACGCCATGCAGCACCTCAATTGGCTCAACACCTTCCTTGCTCCGCCGCAACACCCGCTCCGGGGTGCTCCCCCATTTACGTCATGCCTGCGGGCGCCACCTGCACTTCTGCGCCAAGCGGCGCCGGCTCACCATTGGTGCATCGGCTTTCGTCGCGCGTCGCCCCTGTGCGAGATCGTAGGCGAGGGTCGGGGGGCTCTCGGATATCTGCTCGTGTGTTCTTTTTTGGATGGTTTCAGAAGCTTTCGGAGGCCGCTGAGGAATTATTCGGTAGCTGTTCGGAGCCCTCTGCGCATTTCGCAGGCGTTGCCAAAGGCATGCGTAGCGCCCCCCCCCCCATGGTTTCAGCACGCGTGTCTGGCCTACCGCGCGTGGGGGGGAGGTCATCCTTGCACGCATCTCTCCTGCACCCCGGCCCGTCGTCGTCCCGGCACGTCGTCGTCCTCAGGACTGCAAGCATTTCGGATCGCCTTTCGAGGCGTGCGACGTGCTGGCTCTGAGGCATGGAGCTTGAGCCCACAGGCAAAAACACGTTTAAGGCCAGCTCCAGATCCCTCGGGAACCTCCCCGAGCCCGCCCGGACCGCAGAGGCACATCAGACGTGGTCGGGGCATTCGCGCCCTATGAGCCCTATGGGCCTGGCGCGCCCTGTGAGCCTTACGGGCCGCATGGGCCCCTGGGCCGTACGAGCCCTATGAGCCCTATGAGCCTTATGAGGCCTACGGCCCCCGCGGGCCCCACGACACCTTACAAACATGTATGGCCTTTGAGCCCTATGAGCCCTATGAGCCCTACACGCCGTATGAGCCCTATGAGCCCCAGGAGCCCTATGAGCACTATGAGCCCTGCGGGCACCATGAGCCCTATGAGCCCTACGGGCTCCCGGGCCGTATGAGCCCCATGAACCACAGGAGCCCCATGAGCACTATGAGCCCTACGGGCACCATGACCCCTATGAGCTCTGCGGCCCCCGCGGGCCCTACGACCCCTACGAGCCATGTATGGCCCTTGAGCCCCATGAGCCCTATGAGCCCTACAGGCCGTATAAGCCTCATGAGCCCTATGAGCACCAGGAGCCCTATGAGCACTACGAGCCCTACGACCCCTATGAGCCATGTGAGCCCTATGGGCCCTGGAGGCCGTGTGAGCCCTACGAGCCTTATGAGCCCCAGGAGCCCTATGAGCACTATGAGCCCCGCGGGCACCATGAGCCCTGTGAGCCCTACGGGCCGTATGAGCCCTATGAGCCCCAGGAGCCCCATGAGCACTATGAGCCGTACGGGCACCATGAGCCCTATGAGCCCTATGGGCCGTACGATTCCTATGAGCCTCATGAGCCCAATGAGCCCTACGGGCCCAGAGGGCTCTACAACTTCATGGGCCACATGAGCCTGTGAGCCATGTGAGCCCTATGAGAACCCTTGGCCTTATGAGCCATATGAGCCCTGTGACCCAATAGGCCTTATGAGCCTTATGACTGCTGTGAGCCGCATGAGCCTCATGAACCTGATGAGCCCTATGAGCCCTACGGGCCGTATGAGTCTTATGAGCCCTACGAGCCCCAGGAGCCCTATGAGCACAATGAGCCCCGCGGGCACCACGAGACCTATGAGCCCAATGAGCCCTGTGAGCCCTATGAGCCCTGTGAGCCCTATGGGACCATGAGACCCATGAGCCCTATGAGCCCTGTGATCCTGACGAGCCCTGCGATCCCTGTGGCCCCATGAGACCCAATGAGCCCTATGAGCCTTCTGAGCCTCACGGACCTTACGAGCCCGATGATTCCCAAGAGTCGATGACCTCACAGAACCCCGGGAGCCCTACAATTCCAATGAGTCCTATGACACCCATGACCACTTCCCGAATCGCATCGCGGCAGTGACGACTGCCGGTCCCATCGCGCCTCTCTGGCGCCACGCGACCAAGATTTTAAAGGCGAAGCGAAGCGAGCCGGTAAAACCTTGTATGTGTATATATATATATATATATGACCCCAAGGGAAGCGGTTGGACTGAAGGTCTGGTGCCAGGCGGACCGAGCTCGTTGGAATCTGTCTAGCAGAGGCTGTGACACGCTGATGCAGCGCCGTGATGCTAGCGATGGAAGCCGTCTCAAGTTCCCAATATGGCTGTTGCCTGGCGGCCGCAAGCTGCTGCGTGAGGGCGTGCCTGCGATCTGTTCGCTGCAGTGCTGTTCCACCAGTGCCTGCACCCTCAGGTCTTGGGTGGTAGGGCGGTCGCTAGTCCCCGTACCCTGGTGGGAGGGCGACACGACCTGGTGGCTATGCGTGGTGGCCGCGGAGGCGGGGTCCTGGCTGGTGGACGACCGCCCATTGAGGCACCGCTTGCATGTGCCTCTGCTGACGCCGTTCTCTGTTTTCGTTGTGGCCGTCGCAATCGTGACCTCCTCATGGGGTAGCAGTGGCTTCTATATCGTTGTCCAAGGCCGTGCCTAACCCCAGTGGGTCGTCGTCTTCTCCTTCGGAATCGTCGGTTGGGCCTCCCGATGGGTCGCCGAGATCATCGAAAAAGTCTGGCCCTGGTGGGCCTTGCTGTTGCGGAGCCTGGTGGCGTGTCTTGTCGGCGGATTTGCTACAGAATCCGACTGCCCTCTTGTAGCGTGTGAAAGGGGATGCTGCTGGTGTACGATGTGCCGTCCGCCACCTTGTTAGGAGCAAGAACGATGGGGACATCCCAGTCTTGCGCATCCAAACTAATGAGCGGGGCGGTGCTGTTACCCTGGTGGGTGTCGGCAAAGGCCGTGGACCCTGGTGGGTCACGGCTGGAGCCCGTTTCGTGCATCAGGGAAGATCTTGTTTCCCCGCGCATGTTCATCAGCTCGCCTCGCCTCTTGGAGGCTTGGGCTGTGTATTTGCCGTGCTAGGCCCATCTGAGGCCACGTTGGGGCCATCTGGGCCGTCTTGGAGCGCCTTGGGGCCTCCCGCTCCCGCTCTGTGGCCTCCTACCTTTGGGCCGTCTGAAAATCTCTTGGGCAATTTTCGGGCTCCCTGGGGCCGTCTTGGGGCTCTGTTGGGGGCCTCTTCGGCGGTCTAGGGGCGGTCTTAGGGGCGTCGTCGACCGTCGTGGAGCGTCGGAAGGTCGAAAACGCGAGACACCGAAAAACAGATGAAAAACCAATGGAAATCCAGGATTGGGACCTCTTCGGGCTCTCGGGACGCCCCTCCGAGCTCTCTTCAGGCCTCTTGGAGGTCTCTTGGGCTGTGCATTTGCGGTCTGGAGCCATCTTGGGCCACGTTGGGGCTATCTAGGCTGTCTTGGATGGGCGTGTCGAGGTCTCCTGGGGGCTTCTGGGAGCGTCTGGAAGCTCTCTGGGGCAGTCCGGGAGCTCCAGGGCCGCTCCAGGGCGGCCTGGGAGCGGTCTGGGAAACCAGCGATAGTGTTAGTATAAGCGGCTTCGAGTTCAGTTTGGCGCTTCTGAGCGAGCTCGCTGTATGCAACGATTGCTCGGGCGACGCTGCCACTGCTCTGGACTGCGGTGACACAGGCTTCCTTCCGGGACAGGTTGCCGTCCTGTAAGGGTACCTTTTTGCGGCCCTTGCCAGGTGGTTTCGGCTGCTGAAGATGGGTACGCTCACGGCCGGGACCTTTCGGGGCCATGGCGCGCGCGTGGATACTGGAAGGGGGATTGGCACGAATCAATCACATGCTGGGTTGGCGTGTGTCCGGTCGCGCGATGCGATCAACGGTAACGGTGGGCGTTTCGTGTCTGTGGCTACACCTACACCCGAAGGTACTCGAGCCGAGACAGGAGATAGAGAGAAAGAGAGAGAGAGAGAGAGAGCGAGAGCGGGCGAGAGAAGGAGACGGACAGACACGCGGACAGACGGAAAAAACAGACGCACAGACAGAGAGGCAGGGGGAGACACAAAGAGGCACATCGATCAATGCGCTCGCAAAATCGGGCCGACAGTTGAGTGACCCGGTTGGTCTCGGCTGCCCGCGAGGTCTCTACCGACTGGCCCCAGCCGCCCCAGCTGTCTCAGTTGGACAACTGGAACCACCTGGGAGCAAATGGCACGGGCAGGGGCCCACTGGGGCCCACTGGGACCAAGCAGGGCCCACTGGGGCAACCGGGCCAAGGGAGACACCTGCGGCCAAGCGGAGCTGCTCAGGGACCCTTCTGGGCGGCCTGGGGCCAATCCGTGGCCACCCGAAGCCAGCGCGCCACCGCGGGGGCAACTGGGGCAACCAGGAACTTTGTGCCGGAAACTTGTGCCCTGGAGACACGCCTCTGGTGTCTACTTGAACAGTCGCCAGCCAGAGTGCTGGGCTGGCACACTGGCGGGACTTGCCCCATGCAGCTGGATACAAAGACGCTATCCAGGACGAGAAAGGAGAGGGAAGAGGGAAGGCCTCGCCCACTTTCGCCTCCTCCCTCATGCTCATCGTCACCACCCCCATCCTCGCCGACATGATAATAGCCGCCGTCATCGCCAACACCATCGCCATCGTCGTCGTCATCAGCATCGCCATCACACCCATTACCATCTCCATCGTCACAATCCATGCCGCCAGCACACTCGCCACCACCACTTCAATCACAATCACCATCACCATCACACGCATCATCAGCATCATCACCACCATCATCATCATCAGCAGCATCATCATCACCAGCATCACCAGCATCACCAGCATGATCATGATCATCAGCAGCAGCAGCAATCACCACCATCAGCATCCTCGTCCGCATTTTCCTCCTCCTCCTCATCCTCATCGCTGTCGCTGTCCTTGTCGTCGTCGTGGTCGTCGTGCGGTGCGCGCCCCTTGGCGGGGCGTGCCCCCGGGGAGGTGGGCGCGCCTCGCGCCCCTGCACGTCGGAGCACGCGACCTGGAGGTGGGCGGCGGGCCCCGAGGGCGCGCGGGGCGGGGGGCCCCGCTTCAGGTTGTGTCCCAGGTGCTCACGGACCACATCCCACGAATCATTTCCAGCACCCGGAAACGTATCAAAAGAGTGCCTGCCCGACACGCTGCCCAAGTGCCGAACGAGCATCGCCTTCCAGGGCCCGACACCTGAAAGCCCTTCAGTTTCGGTACTCTCTTGGTGCACGAACATCATGAGCCCCGCTCCCCTGCTGCAGCCGCTCTGTGCCCCCAGACGTCTGCGGCAAGCTCGTGCCGTGTCGATCCCAGCGCTGCTTGGTCTCTGGCACCGCGCGGAGCGATTGGCCCGGATCTCTGGCGACCTGACTTTTCCAACAAGCGAGCTCTTCCTCGGTTTCGGCCCTCGGGGGCCACTGTTGAGGAAACAACACCCCAAGGGAAGCGGCCGGGACTTGAGAGGCCGCGGGCTGAAAAAAAAACACACCGGCAGATGCCAGGGAACCTTGCACGATCGGCGGTTTTTTCTCCAAATAGGCTTGCCCTATAGGAGTCCTAGCTCAAACCCTACTAATTGGTCCGTTGCCCCCCCCCCCCTACCCCTAATTCCTATGGCTATGCCCATGCCGACGCCTATGCCAATCCCCCAACTGCTTTGCCTACGCCTATGCTGAGTTGCGGATTCCAAGCATGCTTAATTCCTCTGACTCCTTGATTTGAGTCGTCTAATCTAATTGGAGCCAACGCTGGCTGATATGATCGGCGGATGGTTCCGGATTGGCCGATTCTGGACCACACGGGGGCGTGCAGCCTTGAGTGCCCGCGGCGGGGTCGCCGCCGCGAACCTTCTGCGAGAGGGCGGCGTGGCGGCCCCAATCCCCGACGTTGTGTGGTTTTCGACGGAGCAATACATGCGGGGCCCAACTCAAGGATGTGCGATGGGGGGGGCGTTCATCCTCGATGCGGGGGGTGCGTCCGGACAGCCCCCACCAGGGCGTATCCCCGAGCCCCCCTTCTTCTATGACAGATCCTGGGAGCCTTCCATGTCACCTTGCTGGCTCCTGCGAATCGACGCCAATCGACGCTAAGCGACGCTAGTCAACGCCCAATCGACGCTACATCGGCACTTCCCCATCGATTGCCGGACGGTAGCGCACGCGGATGTAATTACTCTTGGGGCGGACTTCCGAAGACACACCAGGCTCGCGCGACTTGCGGCCGACGTCTCCCCCTCCTCTCCCGAGCGGCCTGGCCGAGGACGCCGTGGGCGCGGGGCGAGAGGCCGCCTGCGAGCCGCAGAGGCGCGAGGCTCCAGGACCGAACGTCCGAGCCCCCCGGGGGCCCCTCCCGGGCGCCCCCGCGCGGCCACGGCTGGGCGCAGCTCGGCGAGCTGGCCCGAGGTGGACCCCGGTCGGGGAGCCGGCACTGCGAGGACTGCGGCGGGGGAGAGCGCAGGCATCCAGAAGGATGGGGCGCGCGTGCGCTTCGCCCCGGGCGCGAGCGCAGATCAGATGAAGCCTGAGCCTCACGTGTGTCGCCAGCTTTGGCACCAGCTCGGCCTTTACTTGATTCGTCTTGCTTCGTTGGGGGTTCGGACAGACCTGCAACCGTGCGCCTGTATCTCTGTAGATTACGGCTTGCCTTTGTCTGGTGCTTGTCCTCGCGGTCGCGCCCAGACCCCCGAGGCCGTGACTTTTCACAACGCGGACCCCCCGAGGTCTCGATCCCTTCGCCGGGATCGGCTGTTTTCCCGGATAGTTCTTCGACTGCCCGGGTCCCGGCGAGAGCCCAAGCTGCAAACATCCCAAACCAGGGTTTGCTGCTCCCTGCGCCAGTTCCAGTTTCCAGTTTCCAATGTGACAGTTCTGCTTCTTGTTGCTTACTGTTCCTGGTCGTGGACCGCGCGGGGGGGGGGGAGCCGAAACGCACCCTGGTTAGCAACTCCCGGGAGGGGTCTCAGAATTTCTGGGGGACACCCCTCACACAGATCGGCGGGGTCAGGGTCGAAAAACCCATGGGATGTGCTACATTTCTGAAATTCGGCGGCACCCCTCACGCAGATCGGTGGGTCAGGGTCGAAAAACACATGGGATGTGCCACATTTCTGAAATTCGGCGGCACCCCTCACGCAGATCGGCGGGGTCAGGGTCGAAAAACACATGGGATGTGCTACATTTCTGAAATTCTGCGGCACCCCTCACGCAGATCGGTGGGGTCAGGGTCGAAACATCTGGGGGATGTGCCACATTTCTGAAATTCGGCGGCACCACTCGCGCAGATCGTCGGGGTCAGGGTCGAAAAACCCATAGGATTTGCCACATTCCTGAAATTCGGTGACACTCCTCACACAGATCGGCGGGGTCAGGGTCGAAAAACCAATGGGATTTGCCACATTTCTGAAATCCGGCGGCACCCCTCACGCAGATCGGCGGGGTCAGGGTCGAAAAACCAAAGGGATTTGCTACATTTCTGAAATTTGGCGGCAACCCTCGCGCAGATCAGCAGGATCAGGGTCGAAAAACCAATGGGATTTGCCACATGCCCGAAATTCTGTGGGAAACCTCAATGCACAGCAAACGGGGGCAGGTTCAAAATGCAACAGAGTACGGAGGCAGGTTCAAAATGCAACAGAGTTCAACACTATCATCATAATCTCAATTTCTCTTGCTGATGCTGCTTCACGGCGGCAACGAGGCCTCATGATTTAGCTCTTGCATAGCCTATTATCCGAGAGAGGGGGCCGGCGGCAGGGGGCGAAGCCCTTACGGATGAAAAAAACTACGCCGTGCGCTGGGGCCAGAATTTCGGAGGGAAGTCTAGCCGACGAGAGCGCCCCAGGATGCCCAAAAACCTTCCGCCGTGCTCTTGCTGGGGAGACGTAAGACTCGGGTTCGGGGGACTCGGGTTGGCCTGGCAGGGCCTTCAGGAAAATGACGCGACCTAGTCTGACATTTGACGCGAACTCCCGCTGATAAAATCCCCACAGGAACGGGACCGTCAACATTCAAGATAGACCTGTCAAAAACGTCGGCAAACCCGAGTTTCGGCGAATTCGAATCTTACGCTTCCCTGATCTTCCCAGGAGGTGATTTCCGCCCTACGTGTTCGCACCGTTTGGGGCGCACTCCCAACACAATGCCAAGTCGGACGATCTATCAGAATACTGCTGATCCGGAGTCGAGGTAGGGAGGAGGAACACGGGAGAGGTGTGGGGAAGGAGGGAGGGCGGGGGACGGAGAGGGGTGGGGGGAGGAGGAAGCGGGGGAAGCGGGAGGGAGAGGCAGGGGACGGAAGAGAGGGGGGAGGGCAAGCTAGGTGCGTTCGCCCGCATTCCCGAGAACTCGAGCCCTACGTTTCCCCGACCTTGGTTTCGCGACGCGAAAGGGGTCTGGGCCCGCGCCGCGCGCACGCGCGGGCTCACACCACAACGGTCGGCAGCGTGGCCGCCGCCGCTGTCGTGCGCGGCAGGGAGGGCAGCGGGGCGCCCGCGGACAGGGAGTCGGCTGGCGGCTGGTCCACCTGCGGAGCGGGGGAAGCAACGAGGGCGAGTCCTGGCCCCCCTCCTGCTTTCCTTGTCTCCCTTTCCCCCCTCCTCCTCCCCCCCGCCTGCCTCCCTCGCCCCTCGTTCCCTCCCTCCCTCCTCCTTGCCTCCCTCCCTCCCTCCCTCCCCCTCCCCCCTCCCCCCTCCCCCTTCCCCCTCCCCCTCCCCCTCCCCCTCCCCTCCCCCTCCCCCTCCCCCTCCCCAGTCCGATTTTCGGTTAGCTTGACCCAAGACGTCTATAGCACGGATTGTCTTCTGTCTGCTACACTATCTGCTGCTAATACATGCCTGGAATCTACCTGGATTCTGACTCTGGTCCTCCTGGCTTGTAAGAAGGATCACATTAATTAATACACATAACCTAGGAAAACGATCATAAAGCTGGCTACCGTTCCTCGGACCCTAATCGAGCAGAGCAATCATTCTGCCCCAAGGGTACTCAAAGAAATCGAAGAAAAACTTATCTATGTTGAAGTAGTCGATGAACGGCCGCTTCATGCTTGAAATATAACCATATCTGGTAACGCTGACCATCGAACCAAGAACAGTAAAAGTAAGCATAGTAGTCCATCATATAATGCCTGGGTCGTCTAACTTCAGAAAGATGCGGAGTACGTAATTCATCACCTGTGATTCAATCCATGTCTTGCAATCTAGTCGCCATGCATACTGATGGTGACTCTGCCCAAGAAGGTTTCATGCTGATCAGGTCGTTCTCGGTCACCGTCACTGCTGGAGCATCGATGGTTGCCACTAGACACTCGATGCCCTTGGTCTCCACACGCCAGTAGCCGTAGGTCAACAGGTCGTAGAGGATCTCCGATATCATACTCTTCGTCAGTCCATCTGCAACCATGGCCGAGGTAGGACACCAAAAGAAACGCCTGATATAGCCACGAAGCCTATCTTCTCGTACTGATAGCACATACAGTCGTTGATGTCGATCTTGAGGTACGCCTTTGAGGCCGACGCTGAGCTCAAAGAAGTCTCTGCAGTCTGTCCAGTGGTCAATAGGTATCATGAACTCAGCGTGATCCTGGATCTGAATCAGCTGTGCCATCGTACTGCCTTCATGTAGTGGAAGTTGGATGCCTGGAGCAAATAACTCTGTCAGTCGCATAGCAATCATCTGTGCCAACTCTTTACCAACTACACCTGCCAAAGTCTCTGCCCGGGACGTGCTGCCTGAAACTCTCTTGGCCTTATGAGATAATGAAGCTATGATGTGGCAGAACTTGCTGAGCTGCTGCTTGGAGTCGCACACCTGCTGGTAGTGAATCGACGTCGTAGGTACAACTTGCACGCGCTTGTCCGAGCCCAACAAGATAAGTACTGCCTCTTGAGCGTATGAGCTTCCTGAGGTGGCTCCACTCGAATCTGCCACCGTGTCTATCACGAATGGTGGAGAGATCTTCGGAAAGTAGAGTCCCACGTTCGATGAGTACTTCTTCACGCGAGCTAGTAGCGTGTTGGCCATCTTGATGTGCTTAATCGTTGCTGATGCCGTGTTCTGCTGGATAATGACTGTATCTGCAATCGCGTCCAGTCGTGTCTGACATAACCATAGCAACCCGCCCAGGAGTCCTCGAAATGCCTTGAGCTCCGTGGAAGTGAGTGGAGAGTCGTCCTGAGCTGCTCGGTGCTTGCCGAGAGGAACTGGCTGGAGGTTCTGACAGAACTCGTCCTGAGACATTCGAATGCCGAAGTCAGTCTGCTCATGTCTGACTCCCACATGATTCATAGGTGGTTGCTGTCTAGTAGCTCCTCCGAATCTGTCCGAGAATTTGCCGCAAGACTTGTTGAGCCACTCGTTGCTGCTCGCGTTGTTGTTGTCGTCGACATAGGAGGTCGCAATTGCCTTGAGTTCTCCTGGGGATTCCATCCAGAAGTAAAAACAGTCGTCGAAAGCCGAGGGCCTGCCGCCAAGCGTCTCTATCATGAAGATCTGCATGACCACCTGGAATGCCAACGGTGCGTCGTTCAGACCATACATTGCCTTGAGACACTCCAGAGCCCACATGTTCCAGCTGCCTTGCTGCGAGGGAACGCGATACGTCTTGGAATCGATGTTCCTGAGGTGTCGCCAGACGTTGGCTGGTGGAATGATGTACACCTGCCGCTCTGGAGTCTTGATGCCGCGCTTGCGCAAGACCTCGTACATGTCCTTGAAGGGCAGTCCCTTCAGGAAGGCGCCCGTGACGTCCCAGCTCTCGATGGTGAAATCATATATCGCTGCCAATGGGACCAGAAGCCGCTGCGACAGTCGAGTAGCCGTCGTAGCTCGCTTAGAAAGTGATGCACCTTGACCGTCAAGAAAGCCTCTTGCACACAGCCTGCTCTTGACGATCCACTTCATCTCGTTGCCGACCTTGATTTGCTTCCACTTGCGGACCCAGACGCAATCCACTGGATCCTGCTTGCACTTGCTCATAGGCATCGGTTTCCACACAGTCGCCTCGACGAACTGCTTGATCTCCTTGAGGTCTGCTGCTTCGACCAGGTCAAAGTGTTCCGCCACGTCGTTGGGCTTCAGGATGAGTGAGTCCGAGGCCGATGCGAAACACTCGCCAGTGAGGATGTCGAGATAAAAGCAGTGATCTTCGAGGAAAGGTCCATAAAAGGATATGTAAGCTTGGCTGCGTGTCCAACTGCTCGGTAGTTCGTCGTCATCAGTAAGATTGAAACCCTCAACGTCTGAGCAGAAGTGTTCAGCTATGAGTGCCTGCTGCTCCGTCATAGAGTTGTGATATTCACCCCCGTAGTCCTTGAGCTCGGGAACTAAGTCGATGCGCTTGGTGAAGTACTGCTGGTGCTCAATCAACTCCTGCCAAGCTGAGCAGTAGAATACTTCCGACGATCCAGAGTAAAGGTCCTCAGACTTGATGCCATGGGCAGAACGAGACCTGTCATCATGTTCAGGGTTGTAGTCGATGGTCTTGTCTTCGTCGTCGTCCTGAGGCTGCTGCTGAGGGTACTCGATCGTCGCGTCCGGTGAGCTCTGCTGCATTGGAAGGTGAACCGATCTAGACCGTTCGTCATCGTGCTGAGGATACTCCAGAGTCGGTTCTGCAGCTTCCGCTGCTTGATCAGGGTGAGATGGATACTCAATTGTTGATTGATCAGCTGCATCCTGTGCTCGATTCGTGTCCGTGTCGAGCCTGCGAGACCTGCTCCGATCATGGTCGTCGACAGGATCGATGCCTTCACCTTGAGTTGCTTCGGCGATAGGCAACACAGGACCCTGCTCGCCCGACGATGCTGCCGCCTGTGACCCGCTCGATGGTGCTGATGATGAGCTCATGCCTGAGTTGTCGAACTTGACACGCTGATCTCTTCGTTCACGCATGCCGCGTTTCAGGATGGATGTCTGTGTCCGAGATCTGTCATCGTCACGTTCACGAGCTTCTGTCTCTGAGGTCACAGGGTCTGATATAGACGCGTCCAGATCAACTGGTGAGCCAGGAAGTGCAACTTGTCGCCAGTCTGGTGATGCTGGAGTCTGAGGTGCTGGAAATATCGGTGTCGTCGGAATTTGCTGCGGTGGTGCAGCTGCCTTTGGCGAAGTCGAAGTTCGACTTGGTGCTGGTCGTCGCGGAACAAACTCTTCATCAGATATGCTGATGTCGTGATCTGCCACCACAGCTCGCTTTTGTCCACTGTCTGGCACAGGTCGACCTGGATGATCATCTGGAGGTCGAGGAGGCGCAGGTGGCGCCAAGATAGAGGTACCAGACCTTGACACTGTCTCAAGCGTGCTATCCATGTGCTGCGACTGGTCGTTCGGTGAGAAGGCCGAACGTGGCAGCACTGGCTGTCGAGGTATCTGTGGTGGTCGTCCTGGAGGCTGAGGTGGTTGAGGAGGCTGTGGTGATTCACCTACTTCCATGACTGTGTCGTCATAGTCTGGAGGCTTCCACCACTCCGTCGGAGTCGGTGATGGTAAAAACTGCGTAGGAGGTGTCCAGGGCGCGTCGTCTACCTGCTCAATGCTCGAGATGTCCGAAAGATCTGGTACTGCGTCCTGAACAACCGTGTCCTCGTACTGCTCTGAGACATAGATGATGAACGAGTAGTTGCTCGGCGTGTCTGGCAAGATAGTCGCCAGCCGTAGAGTATGCCTCAGGTCCACTTGTCGTACTTGGTAGCTAAGTCGATCTCGTCGAACCCATGCTAGGATAACTCCTCGATTGATGCCGTGATAGGTGTTGATGTTGTGCAGTTGCGTGCCGAACCTGATGGCCCTTGGGGCCGCCAGCTGTAGCAGAGCCTCGCCCACTTGAGCTGCCAGACGAAAGACCTCGGGAGTGTTAATCTCGAAGTCGTTCGGCACAACAATCTGCATGCCGTTGGCGTCGTGAACCATTCCAACTGTGATCGTAGTGCCTGGTGCCTGGCCATCAACAATGTCAAGTAAGCCGTGCAATGTCGTGTACATATCGTCATGCATGTTGTCCTGCCATCTGTCTTCTCCGTCCATCAGCATGTGAGTCGGTGGGCATGCCACTGTGACTGCATACGATCGTGCCTGATGTGGTCGCACATGCCTGAGCGGAACGATGTATGGCATGGACTGGTGTTTGGCGATCGCCACGTTCTCCTTCAGGTTGATGTCCAGTAGGTCGCACGGTCCTCTCCACCCGGGCGCGTCCTTGCGATCAGGAACTCGGTACAGATCAACAAAGTCTTGCAAGGGTCGTAGCTTGGCCACGTCCGAAAGGATCTGCACCTTGGTGTTGCTGGCCTCTGCGATGCGCTGCTCGATAACTGCCTTCTGAACTGCCGCCTTGGCCATCATCCTGAGCCTGAGGTAGGACTCGAAGGTGTCTGGTGTCGTGTCGCGCGCGCCGTCGATGGCAAGAGTGGAGTTGGAGCCGTGATCAAAGAAACCACGAGGATTCTGTCCTTGCAAGCACTGAGATGGTGTATATCCACCGTATTCTAGCATAAAGTTCTGGCACATCGTGCACTCGAACACTAT